GTAGTAGTAGTAGTAGTAGTAGTAGTAGTAGTAGTAGTAGTAGTAGTTGAGTCACTTGAAATGGAGTCATGAGGACAGCATGAGGTCTCCCGCAGCCATGTCATGAAGGCATGAACCACAGACGTCTTGGGCTCAGTTTCCACGGAGTGAAAACGACCGCGATTCGATTGCGGTGTGCCATGTTTGACCCCTCGTGGAGGGGTGACCTTTTCCATCGAGTGTGAAATACTGTTGTGGCCTGCTGCTGTGCATCAGTGGCAGCGGAGCCACGGTTGCTCCAGGCACTGGCCACGATGGCTGCGAGGGACCCCTGGCTTAGGACAGATCCATGGCAGCACTACTCTGGCGTGTCGGGAGCAGCTCCTTCGACTACCGCGCCGTCAGGCGATGCTTCGAATAGAGCTGCCTTTCCAGGTGTCTCGAGCTGCTCAGGTGCAGTGCCGACTTTCGGGGGACCAAGGATGACTTCCTCAGGAACGCTTGGATCAGACCCTCGACTGGTTGGGAACTTCGTCACTTCGGCGAATGCAACGCCAATGATGGCGAACCCTTTGATGAGCCCTACTCCGCAGAATGCTCAGCAAGCAGGAGTTCATGGCATGTTTAGTCAACCTTTTTCTTTTGGTCCGCCTCCCCAAGGGATTGGACAGCAGGGTTTGAATGGTGTAGGGCAGACTATGGGTCAACCCCCTTCAAGAGGGAACCTGGCTCAGGCTGCGCCAAACCTTGGCTCAGCGAACGCTGGAGCAAGTGCACCAATGCCCACACCCTTCTCTGCAGCTGGTCTTTGTCAGCAGTTGGATGCCACAGCATTGCCACCGACTTCACCAGTTGTTTCTACTGCTTTTGAGATGCTGGGAAAACCGGCTCATGCAGCTGCAACTGTGCCGGTTGATCCTCAGGAGACTATGTTGAAAGCATTGACAGCTGCGTTGTCTGGCGATCGGAAATCGCTTCCGACTTGGAGTGGCGATGTTGCTACTTTGAGATCTTGGCTTCGACAGTTGACATTGTGGGAAATGGACAACAATCTGCCTCGCCACAAGTGGGGACTCAAATTGCTGCAGGCCTTCGGTGATCAGACGCCGCCTCGACGGATTGCAGAAGCTGTTGATTTGGCGACTTTGACCTCGGAGAATGGCTATGCTGCAATTCTCACGGCCATAATGGCCAAGTACGGACCCTACTTGGAAGCTGCAGGTCCAGCCGCCATTGAGGCCTTCTTCTATGGCACCGAGCGGAACAAGAACGAGAACGTGTCAAGCTACGTTGCAGCCAAAGAGATTGCCTTGCAGGAGTTGGAGTCACACCTGGGGGAGAAGCTTCCTCCCAGGATCGCTGGCAGGATTCTTTTGAGGCACGCAAACCTCTCGGATGCCCAGAGAGAGGCCATGGCGGTGAAGTATAACGCGCTGTTGACCTTTGAGCAGGCGGCCGCAGCACTGCGGCCACTGGACAGGCCCGATGCCTTGGTTCAGAAGGTGACAAAGAACTTCGCAGCTGCTTCGACCTATGTTGGCGCAGCTGAGGCAGAAGATGATGAGGAAGAGCTCATCGAAGACAACGATGGCCATGAGGAAAGTGAAGGACCAGAAAGTGACGGTCAAGGCAACCTGACCTACCTCCTCTTCGACCCTCAAGAGGAGTATACTGAGGAGGAGGCCACGTACATCTGGGCGTACAACAGCGCCTACAAGGACGTGCGTCGTGAGTTGCAGGCCCGTAGAAAGGGACGTCAGTTCTTCAAGAAGGGTTCAGGAATGCCCGTGCAGAAGAAAGGGAAGACCAAAGGTGCCTTCAAGAAAGGCAAAGGCAAGGGAAGCTCCATTGGCAAAGGCAGAGGTCGCGGCACTCCAGACGACCTCATGTCCAGAACCAAGTGTTTTTCCTGCGGTGGCCTCGGCCACATGTCTCGAGACTGTCCGCATCAAGATGCTCCACAGAATTTCTTTGTTTGCCATGGCACTGGTCGGGAACAGACCAGGATCTATGCGGTCAACGTGAACCCGACCGTGCAAAAGCAGCTGGAGATTTTTGCTGGAGTTCGAACTGAGAGCTTTGAGGCTGTAGTAGACACTGCAGCCGAAGAGGCTGTCATTGGGTCCAATGCAATGCAGCGACTGAGGTTGGCATTGGCTCAACATGGATTGCAGCCTATGGAAGCTCCAGGCACCACAGCGACTTGTGCAGGCATTGGCGGCTCAGCCACCATCAGGGGTGTCTTTGACGTTCCGGTTGGCATAGCCAAGACCAATGGCTTGTTGCGAGTGACAGAAGTCGCTGATGCTGGCAGCTTCGAGACGCCTTTCCTTTTGCCCATCTCGTACATCGAGCTGGTTGGAGGAATCATAGACACAGGACGAAACTTTTTGCCTTGAAGGGAGGCAGAAAGACACCAATGCGCCGGCTCCCATCAGGGCATCGCACCATTTCGGTGTTGGAGTTTGCTGGACGATGGAAGTTGCCAGAGAGCCTGGCGCAAGAGCTCACCATGACGTCAGGAGCCAATCCTTTTGTTCTGCCTAAAGCCCAAGGAGGTGACAGGCTTCAGCAACGACCTGGAGTCGCTGTTTGGCTGAAAAGAGGAGCTGATTTGGTCTTCATGGGATCCATGCCGGGTCGCAACACCTTGGTCCACCCGGACGAGATCCTCCCTATACTGCCCTGAAGCCTTCTTTGTCACGATCCCGAACTACATGTGCCCACTTTTTGGACGACAATACCATCACAATCCATGATTCATGGCACCTTCCTTCTCAACGCCAACTTCCTTTTTGGTCGGGTGACGTGTTTTTCGAGCTTTCGTCGACCCCTGCACCCTCTTCGACACCTTCTTTGAACCCCACTTCAACCTCAATGGCAACCACTCTGCACTCGCCTCAGGCTGCCAAGCCATCTACGGCGGATGCAAGCGAAGAGGCGCAGGACCCAAA